ATTGATTTTCGGATTCTGGGAGAAAAATAAAGGTGAGTTTTATAAGAGAAGTATATGACTAAAACGTAAGGTTTTTGACATATTTTACATTTTCTAGAAACAAAGAACAATTTTTAAATTACAATAAAAGCTACCTAAATTAGAATTTACCCGGTATAGCCTAATATGTAGTTAAATTAACTATTGTACTTTAAACTAATTTAAAACTTGATCCAAAAAGTTATACAGGGTGTCACCTTTAAAAGCATATTACTAGTTTATTTTAAATGGAACACCCATTATATTATTCCGATATTCAATGAAGAATTAATGTCTCTTCAAAATACTATTAAGGTTGCCTACCTCTCTAACAAAGATTTTCCTAGATATTTTCATTTACATGATTTGATCTGGGTAGATATTTATTTGATAAAATCTAGGGGGGCTGGTGATTTGTCTGACGTTACTTCAACATAACTGTCTAATTAGTCCAACTTTAACAACTAGTTATCTTTTTGTGTCAGTTAAGACAAAAAAAAATCTCAGAAATTTGCCGAAAATGCAAACTTATCCTACATCAGAAAGAATTGATATGATTCTATTAGTTGGTGAATGCAGTGTGCATTCACGAATTAATAGAATACTTAAATGCTCCTGATTTTATCTAGTCTGGGTTTTTTTATGTTTTTTGTTAAATTAACAAAAGGTGTATTACAGCCCCCTAGATTTTTTTAGATATTAAGAGATAGGCATATAGGCAACCTTAATAATATTTTGAAGATCTATAAATTCCCCTTTGAACACCGGAATAATACTCTGGGCGTTCCATTTAAAATAAAGGAGTAACTTGCTTTTAAAAGTGACTAATGTTCCATATTAATTTTGTCTCACCCTGTATAACTTTTCGGGTCAAATTTCAATTTGGTTTATCATACAATGGTTACTATAATTAAATATCAGGCTATACAATACAAGGTCAACTAAAATTTAGGTAGCTGTTATCGAAATTTAAAATTTACTCTTCATTTTCACAAACTGTGAAATATGTCAAAATCCTTAGATTTTAGGTATATGCTTCTTTAATAAAACTCACCTTTATTTTTTTTCTAGAATCCGAAAATCAATTAATATATAGGGTGTTCCATTAGAACAAACACAACGTTGATGTGTTACTTTTTTTTGGGGACACCCTATATAATTCTATATATTTTTATAAAATGCTTTCAGTTAACCTACATACGCTGCCAACATTTCATTTCGATATAAACTACCGTTCTCGTTGCTTTCGCGGCGTATGAGAGGCGCCACCCTGTATTATCTATAAAATATTATACTGTTTAGGGTTATATTACCGTGTAAGCAGCTCGTATTTCCACAAACGGACTGATCAGTTTGTAAAAAAACTAGTTCATTTATATACAGTCTATCTGTAACTGGGCCACATAACGTTTAATTTGCCTTTGATTATATACAGTCATAAATCGCAATAGTCCGTAGGTTAACAGTCTAGACCGTACATGAAAAACCATGTCTTATATATACGGTCTGTGAAATTTAGACCATATAGATAGGACCTACGTTTTCACATATGGGCTTTAACATATGTATATGTAGTTTACAATAATATAGTAGGTACATCGACGTTTTTTTAATAAATGACTGTGGTGTGTTATGGTGTAATAAATGACTGTGGTAACAACAGCAAAATAAAAATACTAATTTGCCGCAATACATACAACAAAACACTTTATTTTTAACACGGGATATGCGTTTCGCTAACTATGTTAGCATCATCAGTAGTTGATTAAAGCCGAACTGTAGTTTAAATCGTCTGCTGATAGCATGGTTAGTGAAACGCGCGTCCAGTGTTAAATATAATGTGTTTTAGTGTATTGTGGTACTACGAACGGGTGTAACACAATAGAGTACACTCGCTGTGATAGTGTTTTCATTTTGCTCCTAATTTCTTTTGTCTATACAAATGATACTCTGTTATTTATACGCTTCTTGTGCATTATTTTCCAAAGACAACGCCAAAAAACGCATCAAACTTAGGATGAGGAGTAGGCCCGAAACATATGTGCCTAATAAACTATTAGCCATTAGTACCTATTATATGGAAGTAATATACAGGGTGGTCCGAACTGTAGTCCGGAAACTTCGGCAACATATTCTGCAGATAAAAATAGATAAAAAAAGTTCGTATAAATGTATGTTCTAAAATGTTTAGTTTTAGAGATTCAGTGTGTAGAAGTTTTATTTTTATTTCCATTTTTTCCAAATAATTTCTGAGGGATCGTCAATATTCGGATGAAAATTGGCATCTGGGAGTTTTTTTGACAAGAAAAATTTGATTTTGATGTCAACATGTTTATTTTTCGTCATTAATGAGATGTATTGACTACTTCAATTCTAAATATCTTGAGAACGGTTGTTCATAGCGATTTTTATCAAGAGACATTTTTTACTTAGAAAACCATGGAAATATATATTTTTTCACTCAGTAGTTTTATACAGGTACGGACGAAAAGTTATCACTTTTCAAAACAGTTAAAACACATGTAGTTGGCGCTCCCCACAAATAGGAGTCATATTGACATCAAAATCAAATTTCTCGTATCAAAAAACTCTCAGATACCAATTTTCATCCAAATATTGATGTTACTTCATAAATTATTTGGAAAAAATTGAAATAAAAATGAAACTTCTACACCCTGTATATAAGTATTTTAGGACATACATTTATACAAACTTTTTTACTTATTTTTATCTGTAGAATGTGCTGCCGAAGTTTCCGGAAGACAGTTGGGACCATCCTGTATATGGATAATATAAATAAATAATATGGATTTTAATATTTTCAAAAATGCCTAGCTGGAATAAACGAATGAATGAATCCGGAGAGGAAAAATTTGGTAATATTTTAAAAAAAAGTCGGAAAATTGTCGGGTTCAGCGGCGGCTAATAAAATTTCGATGTACTGTATCTTTGATTCTCGGCATGAGACCTACACCAAATCTTAGTGATTTAAAACCTACCAGAAACATTTCTCTACTATTAAAATCAAATTTGAAATTTGCGACTTTTTCATTTTTGCAATTTTGTAATTTTTTTATAGTTTTTATTATATTTTATCGAAAAATTTTGAATATCGGCAAATAAATCATAATCGCTGTGAAAATACAACACTTTATTAATTTTTTTATTCAGGAAAAAAAAACAGAACGCTGTAATTTCAGTCACTTTGATTCTTTTGACAATTTTTAAAAATGTTGGAAAAAATATGATAAAAATTATGAAAAAGTAAAAACAAAATTATTTTATTATTTTTAAGTGGCGTTGGACGTTGGTGGTACACACGCTAAAATAAAAAAAAAACGCAAATTTTAAAATTGTTTTTAATAATACAAGTACCTATATTCTGGTAGACCCTGAGTTAATCCTGTTTAAAATTTGGTATTGTTCTATACCAAAATTTTACCAGCTGCCAATAATAAAGCTAGATGATAATAAAAAAATTGTCAAACAATTATTGGATTTAAATGAAAAAAAGTTTTAAAAAATATTTTTATAAATAATTTTGTATCTAAAACTTTTTACTTTTTTTCTAAATTATATATTAAATCTTGACAAATTTTTATGTCACATTTCAACAAATGACTTAATAAACGATATTCGGCGTTTGTAATTCCAAAAGTCACTCTGAGGGCGTTTGATTTCGGTTATAAGGTACAGGTAGGGTTGCCAGAGCAAAAGGGAACCGGGAAATCCCGGTATCGAAAGTCCCGGGAATTCCCGGTTCTTTTGAGACATCAAAAAACCGGGACTCGAAGTTATTAATTCCCGGTTCTTTCGGGACTCGGTAATAATAATTAAAAGCTTATTTTTTGTTACATGCGAAAGATTTTTGATACTTTCTAGCGGGCGAAATCAAACTCTCCTAAATAAGTAGTGATGCTATCTCTTACTGTTCTTACTTAGTTATTTTGAAGTTTCTATAATGTTTATTAGCAATTATTGAAGTTTAAATATGTTATTTTGTTATTTAGGATAATATTGCTGAATGTATTAGTTATATTTTTTTGTGTTATGTTTTTATAGGCGTTTGCATCTTTAATTGAAAATGTTATTTTTTTTCTAATTTAGTTAAGTTGGTTTCGAGGTTGGTTGATGTAGTTTGAATTTTTAAGCTACCTATGTGTTTTCTTTTTCTTTTCGCTTGTGTTCATTATTTGTGTTCATGTTTACTTTCTACTGATTTAAAAATTTGATACTATTTTCATTTGAAACTCAATTTTTTATCGGTTTTACTTTTGAGAACGATCCCTTGATTGCTAATTGACGAACTCCACAATCGTTGAACGAAAATATTTTAGTACGGTTCTGGAAACTCTAATTAATACTAACAATTAGGGTTCAGATCTTTTTGGCCATCACAGAACCGGGCCTCGGTAACAATTAAACATTTTTTATCGAGAAAGTTCTTTGATACTTTCTAGCGGTCGAAATCAAACTCTTCTAAGTAAGTAATGATGCTATTTCTTTATTTGTTCTTGCTTCTTTTCTCTTTTGAAGTTCCTATAATACTTATTATGTTATGTTTATTGTAATTGACATTTGCATTTTTAATTCAATATTTTAGGGCTTTTGTCTCAAATTCTTTGAGACAAGATTTGATGTGAAATTTAAGTTACCTATACTTTTTTCTTTACTTGTGTTCATGTTAATTTTTTCATGACTGATTACTTAATAATTTGATAATATTTTCATTAAAAATCTCATTTTTTTATCCATTTTACTTTGAAAAACCATCCCTTGCTTTCTGATTGATGAACTGCACCACCATTGAACAAAAATTAATCATCAGTACCGAAAAAAACGGGAAATCCGGGTTACTAAGAGGCGCGGTATCGAAATTCCCAGTTCCGAAAATCAGCTCCGGTTCCGGAAACCCTAGTTCATGTACCTTCCTCGTTTTCATATTAAATGTTCTATTGACATATTCAATTAGAAATACTTACTTCTTGTGCGTTATCTCCGAAAGCCGAAGGGACAAAAAGCACCGGCAGGACACAGCATCCCACAAGAAGCGCGATCGGCTTGGACGAGGGCCACATATCGCGGCAAATAATCCTCCGTGCGCGCACACAACCTACTCGGCTACGGCTTCTTACCCGCTAGCGCATAATCGCCACACTGAACCAGCCGACACACAGCCACAGCCACAAACCTCGAAGCGAAAAACACAAACACCGGCGCGCAGATATCATACGGTCAACGATTGTTGTTCGAAAAATCGCCAACGCCGAAAAAGATCGCTAGCCTATTCCGCTGGACGCACTTGCTGGGGCTACTCGCTGTGACGACGCTGCGAGTCGTTCTGGACCCGACAAGAGACGCTGGTACTACGAGGAGCCGTACCCTGCCCTGCCGAACGGTTCGGTACGGGTCGCAGTTTGGATCTTCCGCACCAGAGCAAAGTTTAAGGACTTGTTGCTATAGCAACTCTTACAGATATGAAAGAAAAGGAATACAAGAACGCACAATATACTGCAAGTACCAGAAAAAAAAGTAAAAAAGCGAGAAGTGAATCCACTCTAAATCTATCTATGTATCTATCTCTTTTTTCGATAAGGAGAGAAAATCTTGCATAAGACACCCCAACTAGTTTTATAGTGGCAGATACGTAACTGCTACTATCAAAGCCACTACAAAGTGGGCGGTGACCATCGGCGGCTACGTCGTATATTCGTAGCTGCTAAGTAACTGCGACCAAAATGGGGAAAGATTTTGAGTAGCCGGGTAGTGTTTTGGGTAGTTTTTGCCACTAAAAGAGTTACTATGATGTGTTACTATAAAGTAGCCTACTGGTGAATGGGACTTATCTGTTACGAAGCTGCCTAGGCGCGGGTTCGTGGCAGCCAAGTGTTATCCATCGACATGATGTGGAACTTTCGTTAAACTGTTAAACTTTATTCGCAGCGACCTCTTCATACAATTTCACATTTCATAAACATAAATGTCATGATGGAAAATAATTATGGAATTATTTTTATTACTATTATTCAGTTATTTACCGTGCGATTTTAACGCGTTTTTTAGGAAAATTCCAGGACGCAATCAACTTTACTGAATAAAATAGTGGGTTTATATGAGAAAATTCTCGAGCGCCTCTCAAAATATTTCAAATTATTATATTATTTGCAATAGAAACTCATGTAGTAATTAAAAAATAATAATAATTTGCTTGAAACAAACTTTTAAAATATTCAACTTTTAAAATATTAGTTTACCGTTAGAAATAACAAAATAACTAAAGAAAAAAGCTTTAATCTAGGTATATTTAGCTTGAAAATGCATAATGTTTGAGCTATTTGGCTGTTCGTCTAAAAAGTCATGAAAAAAATATGGCCGTTTAATCCTAAAAATACTTTATAGTTCCATATGCTTCCACAAAGTACCGGGAACAATAACATATTAGGCCAACCCTACCCGTTTGCACCGTTAAAATCTTCGGATTGATAAAGTGACAATTGTAGCTACCCAAAGGCGACTTTATAGAAACAATAACTTTCTTTGGAACTACATGGTCAACGATTTCTTGGAACCATAAAGTGATTTTTTCCAAGAAAGTTCCCTGCGCCACCAAATTGCCACTTAATTAGAGCGTATGCTACAGCGATAGCGGCAGTGGCGACTGTACACTCCATTGGTGCCACTATAATGTTCCGCCTTGCCTTTTGAAGTTATTTTTTACTTATTGTGCATTGTCTATTATTAGTGTTTTTGTATTATTCAGAGCTACATGAGGTATATATAGAGTATTTTAACGCCCACTCTTTTAGCTCGTGTTTTATATTGTTGTTGGTTCTCAAATTAGTTCTCCTCTGAGATTCTGTTTCAGATGAACTAACACTACACTCATCTACAGAAACAGCTTCGAAAATGTCTCAGTCACTACCTGATTTATGATATTCATCAGTAGGATTATAGAAAGATGTAGTTTTTGTTTCTGATGTTGCATCGGCTCGCAGTGATTATTTTTGTTTAATTCTTCGGTAGAAAGTACTAGAATACCAAAATTTCTTTTTATTCACCTTAGGCATTTTACAAAATTTTAATAAAGCTTAAAATCAAGTAAAAGAAAACACTAAAACAGAGCAGCACACGATGCAATCTGAGGCAATTACATTTATTAGGGTATATTAAGTTACGGTCACTATAAAGTAGCCGTTTTTGACTCCCGTGACTTTTTGGTGGCAATGGATGGGCGACGGCTACTTTATAGTAACCTAGGAAGGTAGCAGTAACCATTTTGCTACTTTCATAAAGTAACAAAAACTTAATGGAGGCATTATGGTAGCACTTGTTAATAACCCCTACTTTGAAAAATAACTATAAAATTTTTGGTCTTTGGTGTCATATTCGGATATTCGGGTAGTTCCAGCCACTTCTTTAAATTACATGTTTGCGACTTGCAATCGGGGTGTTTATTTTCCACTTTTATGATAGGCAGGCACTAACCGGTCACTCTCGAAATATACTTCAAAGTGACTATTCCTTATAGAGTAACATTTTAAGTGGCAGAGTGGACCTAGGAACTATACTTTAGGGGCTGTGACATTTTAAAAAGGACTGGGAACTATAATTGCTAGTTGGGACCCACATTTGGGTAGTGCCGGATTCCTACGGCCTAAAAAATCCTCCTCCAAATACCACTTTACACCAGAATCTGCTCTCGCATTGCTTGAGTGTAAAGAGTGTCCAGATTTACTTGATGATGCCCATTCTCTCTCTTCCGTCTCTTTACAGCTTATTATAGCAAAATTATTTTGCTGTGTAACACCAAAGGTTCCAACTCTCAACTGTAAGCTTATTATACTTTGGACTATCCGATATATTAGCTTTCATTTTTCTTCCACTTCAACTCAGTATATCATAAGTGCGGGTAAGTTCCTGCCAGATTCCATACGGAATGGTCCCCTAAAGACCTGCCATCGTTCACACGCAAACAGTGCATGTTGAACATCATCAACTGGACCACAGTAGATGCATGATGCACTTTCAACCCTAATTAGTGTCCAGGTATCCATAAGTGAGTACAGTGAGTATACATTGACTATACGAGTCATTTCATTTTGAGGTATTATGGATATGGATATGTTGGCCACCGTCTACTGTAAATAAACTTTTAAAATGCACACGGTATGGTGCTATAAGTATGCTATAAAAAAACTTAGAGGAGATATACAGAAATGCCAATATTATAAAAGCTGCAAAGATGCTATATCACAACGACACAAGTCAAACTGGATGAGCAAGTGTAAATGAAACGGAATACCGCTACGCGATGATACTTATTATTTACTATATTCCAGTCTTCTTGCAGGATTACAAATGATCGAAGGGTTTAGTCGAAACCATGATGACAAGAAAACTTATACAAGAATATGGAAAAGTGGCTTCAAACCTTGAAGGGTGTTGCTAACTAACGGTGCTGTTCCCGAAGGCAGTATGAGTTTAGTCATTCTGCTTAAGTCGGCTCCAGCATCAAATACCTTCCCATCGTTGGTTCCAATATTAAAACTAAAGGAATTTCGGACTTTATCATTGTCTACTACATTCAAAGTTACGTTGGTTCCAATATTTATCCCAAATACCATATGCACCTAGGTGTGATAATGTAACTGACCTAATGTAACTATATATGGAAGATCACTACTTACATTCTCATATTCTTTTCTAAGTTAAGCTGTGTCAAAAATCAAAAGCTTATATTTTATAAGCTATTACTATGGATACAACTGATTACCGCAAGCTGTTGCTAGGATATTCTATTAATTTTAATTGTGTTTTTGAGACATTATGAATGATCGTAAACTAAAAAGTATAACGTGTAATTGAAACCACTAATTTATTCCACTAATTGTGAAGTTCTGATTAAACTTTTAGGCTTACCAGAGTTTTAGGAACGTTCAGTGTCAAGTATCATTTCTAGTAACAACTATATTGATGAAGGAGTAGGCAAGATTGTTTCCCTCGAAACTGTCAACTGCGTTCTGGTGTTTCCCCATTCCCCCTTCCCCATTCGCTTTTGTTTCTTAGCTTCAATCTACTGAGGTGTTCATTGAAGAGACAGAGTCCTATTAAAACCTCATGACAATCCTAAGATTGTTCTTACCTCTATGGTTCTTACTATATCAAGGAAAATGATTTTTCTCGGTCGCAATTTCTGAGAATTTTTGTCGAGTATCTTACACCGTTGGAGGATTCCCATTGTAGGTTACGGATGGAGTCTTTCAGGTTCTTGAGTTCCTCTTTAAGTTGGTTTTCACTCGGGAAGCAGAACGGTTCTGGTGCAGTTAATGGACTATCCGCTCCTTTTCTAGCTAGATTTATTGCTTTTTCATATCCCTTGGTGGGCTGGCACCCAGAGTAGGAGGACTTCGTTTTCTTTTCCTAGTTCAGCTTCTTTAGGCATTTTTTGACCAACTTGACGGTTACTAAGTTGATATTTTTTAATGCTGCTTGACTATCGGACAAGATGACCACTTCTTGTTTCTGATAGTTCCAATCTATGATAAGTTGTACGCATCTTTCCATAGTGTATTCAGTTTGATATAGTCCTTTGATTTGAAATGGTAGACAATGATGAACTATAAAATAATAAAACATCTTTACCTACCATTTTCTTTTATTTGAAATTTTCACAAGTTTCGGTAAGATGAATCACTGAACAAAACCTATTTTTATTTCTACATTGCACACCATATCAACATTACGTTTCTTTTTTCTTACTTAAATTCATTTGTTCTCTAGTAAAACTTATTGAATTAAATAAAGTAATATAATAAGAATAAAATATATTATATCAAATTCACGAATTTCTTAAAAAACGCACTTTATTGCGGTTTTTTAGTAATCACTGCTAAACCTCAATCAAACCTACCTACCCATATGCAAATTAGTTTAGGTTTGACCACATCATCGCCCATTAACATAAAATAAAAAGAGGTTTTTAAAAGATACAGATTCCCAGAACAATTTTTATATCACCAATAAATTTTATCAGGGTCTACTTTTTAGAAAGTCTCCACAGACCGGAGAACGAACAATTAATTCGTAATCATATTTATCGGCAACTAAAATTAAATAAGTATGATTACATTAGTAAAAATTAATTCTAATTATATCTATTTATTAGATACATGGGTTACCCCTTTAAGTCCCCGTTTAATACTTCTATTAAACAGTATAATTCAGTAACGATATACTAGATTTGTTAGTAGTATATTTATGGAATTTGGATATATTTAAGTAAATTCATTAAAAGGCTGTATTTAAAGATTCAAAACTTTTTAATTAAACTTTTTTGTACGAGA